TATACATGGCCAAACCACCTCTGATCCTTATCATGTATACGTTTACATAGTGGACATTTTAGTAGAGCTTTCCGGTTAAAATATACGAAGATTTCTGAATCCTTTTTTTTAATAGTCCAATCTCTAAGATAGTTAGAGTGCTTTTGTAAAACTAGGTCCGCGTATTTTTATAATATATCCTGACTCACAGATATTCTTAGCAGATTATTATTTTTTTCTATGCTAAGCATTCTAGGTCTTACTTCAAGACACAAACTAGCAGGTGGTTGGACTCTAGTATGGTCAAGTTCATTCCACCCATTATTTATCGAATATAATAGGATGCGTTTCACACGACCTTTTTTTGCTGAACCGATAAGACGAAGATTAAAATTTTAACCAGGCAATCCTCTATTAATATACTTGCCAAACGTTTCCCTGGTTAAGGTATATACTAATTCAGTGAATGTTTTAAGCTCATGATGATCTATAAGAAGAGCCAGCGCATATATAATATGGTAGCTACACTTGCTAGGGTCTGATGATGTAGCAATTACTAACCCTTTAAGAATGTCTTCCCAGCTACAATCAAGGATACGATACAAAGCTCTTGTAAAAGAGCAACAGATTCGGATGAATACTTCCTCTGTTTTAACACCAGTTATTTTCATATCTTCCTGTGAAGCATCTATATCAATCACGGCTCTTAAAGGTTTTGACCATTAATATATTCATGAATTCCAGGTAAGCCATATACTTCAGAAATGTCGTCAGCAACAGAAAATTTGGGAGCACGATTACTGTCTTGGTCGATTTTGATAACTAATTTATCTTTCACCTCACTTCAGTCATAAGCGTTATATAAACTAGACCCCTTTTCATTCAGAAAGAAAAATGAATAAATTGGGAGACATTCCAATGACCCTTTTCATCTGACATATCTCTAAGTGGTGATGAGAGAATTTCCTGAATGGCACTTACCAAATCTTTAGGAGAAAATTTATTATTAAACTTTTCCTTTTTTAAAGTATATGTTGCATTAACATTTCGCTCTTGTATATTTGAAAGCTGAACTAATAGAGTTTCAGTAATGCTAGTTGAAGCGTAGGGAGCTTCTTCATTATCAGATTCATAATTAGACTTGTAATTATTATAAGCATCTGATCCTGAATCAGATTCATGATCAGAATAACTGCTTAAGTCGCTTAAATATTCATCGGACTCAGCGCCATTATAGCGGGTGAGAGTTCTGTAATCAGTTTGGTTAGAAATAGTTGAGGTACGCAAGATAATAGTTCGAAAAGATATACTAACTCTATAAAATTCAGAAATGTTTAATTTATTTTTTTCAGAGAGTGTAGAAAGAAACTATAGCAAACTTAGTCAGCAAATCGAAAATGAAAGGCAAACTGATATATATCAAAATGTGTAGGCTTCTCCGTAATTATTATATAAATATTGGGAGAAGCCTACATCTTTCTAGACATGTACTCGGGTATGATATAAATGGGCTGGCCATCATTATATAAAATATGTGAAACAAATGCATATATATATTGGGTTCTGGAAATGTTTCTGTCACTAACCCGTAACTATGAAAGGGTGTTCAGTACCGTAATAGGATTACGTGACTGGTGCAGTAAGGCGTAGTATAAATTCGGCCAGATCTTTGGGCATAATAACTCAGCATTCAAGCTGGCCTAAAACTGGCGAACTAATAGAAATACTCTGGTTTCCTGCCAGTTCTCTAATAGTTCTATAACAGTTCTATGATACTACTACGGCACTATCATGTCACCAAGTTAGATCCAAATTATGTGTTCCAAGATTGGCTGGAATTATAGCATAATGTCAGCTGAAATTAATCACGAATTTACTGCATCACCCTACACGATATTTTTTTACCATATTTTAGTATCTAGAAAGGCAAGTAAATAGGCGCACACTCCATTCATATTTACTAACTAACAGGTCACAGAGAGGAAAAATAGACCTGTCTTTAGGACATATTAATTGATAGATTATAACGTCTTAAGACATATTAATTGATAGATTACAACGTCCTAGAACATATTAATCAATAGATTATAACATCCTAGGACATATTAATTGATAGATTACAACGTTCTAGAACATATTAATCAATAGATTATAACATCCTAGGACGTATTAATCAATAGATTATAACATCCTAGGATATATTAGTCTTAAATAAGTAGTGTTCTAGGACATGTTAATATATTAATATATTAACATGTCTTAGAACACTACTTTATCAAATTAGGACTTAAGTATTGTAAAAAGATCAGGTTAATCTTGTATAATAATTATAAAATAAGATAATAAGATTATAAAAATAATAGAGAAAGAATATAATATAATAGCTATTCAAATATAAGAAAAATTCTGATAAAATTATTATAAAATTCTTTAATACTTGTGAAATATTGATTGATCTAAATAGACCAAATTCTGATTTAAAGATTCTTAATAAAAATAATGTTAATATTGATAATAATGATAATAATATTGATTATAATATTAAAGATTTATGAAGATTATATTTAATATTATTTATAAATTTTTTTGAAATTAAAGTTTTATATATTTTATAAAATTAAATTTATTTAAAATTATTTAACTTATTTAAGTACTTATTTCAGATATTTTATTAATTTTGGAATTGCTTATTTTTGGAAAATACAGTATTATTAGTGATATTGTAAGTTAATTTTTAAATTTTTCTAAGAGATATATATATTTATAAGAATTTATTAGTTTCTCAAAAAAAAAAAAATACTTAAAACAAAATTAACTTCATTTTTTAAAAAAATTAAAAAATATGGATGCTTTGTAGTAAAAAGGAAGAAAATTACCAAAAAAAATTTTTACTTTATAAGCTAAATATTAAAATAAATTCAGATTTAATATTAACTCAGAAAAAAAATTTTTTTGTTAGTTTCCTTTTTTTCTGCTGCAAATCACCTATATATCAGATAATATTCAACATTCATTTATCAATAAGTTCAGTTTATATTATAATATTTTTAATTAAATATACTTACAACTAATTGAAATAAATAATTTAGAAATTGAAAGTCTTAAAAATTTTGATTCAATTAAAAAATCCTTGTAATATAACTTCTTAATTATTTTGAAATATAAATAAATTTTTATTTTTATTTTCAATTTATTTTGAATAATATGGGAACATTGATTAATATATAAGTTTATGTAATGTGAAAATTTTTGATCATGTGTGTTTTTTTACTTACATAATGATTAAAATTATATAATTTTTTATTATGATTATTGAACTCAGAACATACCATTTCCTAGCATACGGAAAGCCACGCTAAACGACATCACCCACATACAACCATATGGAACCTTTGCAATAGAAAGGATACTTTTATACGCCAAATGTGATTTTAGACCGATATTTATCAGACTCGATTTTTTATTTTACTCAGCAATTACTCCCTTCTATTTCAAAGGTCCTATATATTCTCTAAATTTAATTTGAATATTACGGTTTTAATAAATCTCATCCTTACTAAATCGCCAAGAAACAAATTATTGTAACGCGAATAGAAAAAAATATAGATAAAATTATAAGAAGCAGATCGTAAGAGAAAAATAGTATAGTTAAATTTGAATGTTACTACTCATGAAAGTTTTGATTAAGTTTCATCACTTGCCACGGGCAAAACCCGGAGACATCGAAATCGAAACCGTCGAAATCGGTCAAAACCCGTCATCGAACCTATCAAAACCATCGAAATCGAAAGGTTTTGAATTTTTCCAATGTTTTTTTATTACGATTTTGGTAAGGTCATCAACAATAAGTATTGGGCGGATGAATAATTTGTTACCACTTTTTGAAGCAAATTCTTCAAGACCTTTAATAAATTTTCAATAACTCTAACTAAAATATTTATCACTGAATTGATTTCGATAAGCATTTAGTTTAACCTTTGGTGAGTCTGAAAATAAATTACACCAATTTGAAACTTTCAGCTGCAAGAGTATTTTCTCAGCTATGGGACCAATAATAAGATAGTAGTTAGGACCCTCTTGGCTAGATCAATAGCTTCTCTTATTATGGTAACCTGACAGGTTAATAACTCCATAAAGTATGTAGAAGGGAATAAAACAAAGCTGCAGGTTCGATAAGTCTTAAAGAGACAAATCTTGCAAGTGATACATGATTGAAACGTTTCTAAGTCTGGTTAACACTTGATGTATTTGATTTCCTGTTGAGAAAGAGGTCTGACCACTTGAAATTCAGATAGTAAACATCATAATGCAATAAGCCTAATGTATTTCCGTAATTGCGGGTCAAGTTTTTTAATAATTAAGATTGATTTTACGAAAGATATTATTCACGCGAGAATTATGGGCAGATTAAAATCAAAATAGTTTCATCATCTACTGAATAGATTACTTCATGTGATGAAGAAAATGAAGGGGAATGAAAAACAAATTGAGATTAATAATTCATTCAAGAGTTCTTGTAGTCTTAAAGATCCAATTAATAATACTATATTATTGATATAGGGTTCTTTAGTAAGAGGCGAAGACAAGTCAATCACATGTTCAAAATTACTATGATAATTGAATGTTGTCCCATAAATGATTTCCTAAATAGAATGCAACTAGAATTAATGATCAATATCGTATTATTTTGCAAATAAGTATATAATTAAGTTTCATTCGGTTATTTTTTAATTATAATTAAAACTATCATTTACATTATTCATTACACAAGACAGTGTGGTGTTAAAATTGGTAAAAAAAAATATATATATCAAACCAATAAGTAATGTGTATGAAATATGTCAACGATATTCGCATTTTTGTTATTATTAATAATTTGATTTTAATATAAACAAAAATCATTTTTTTCTTTATAAAAGGTCAATACTTTGCCTAATTTTTCTTTATTCAACTTTTAACTTTTTGATTTGACATCACAACGCCTTAAACATTTCTAAACTTCCTTTTCAAAATGAAATTCTCTACTATTCTTTTTATATTTGCTATTTTCGCATTCTTAGCAATTGATGTGTTCACAAAAAAAAATTCATGCATCCAAAAAAAAAACGCTCTAGATGCTAAAAAATTGAATAGGAAATTCAAAAAACTCACACTAGACAGTTCTTGTATGCCTAATGAAGACGCTTGCATCAATAGCAAATTCGCCAAATATGATAATGGCAAATTCGTTCTCTTTCCATATGCGGCAACTTTAGAATACTTCACTCTTCCACTTGTAAATTCCCGTGGTACCTCAGTTACTTGTGATACATCAGCAGATGCTTCAAAGTGTATTTCCGATGCTCTCAATTGCAAAGCCTTGACCAGTTGAAATGCGCATATTCACAATATTTTATATAAACATTTTATTTATTGTTTAATCGGAAATTATAAGTTTAATTAAAAGATAATTAGTGTTGCATTTAATTTTTATAAAATTTTCAATTTACCTTTTGATTGATTTTTTCTCTATTCATTTTTTTTCTTTTATTTCTCATTTATTTATCATTCCAAAATTCATGAAAGCTTTATTCAATAATAAAATAATTTTTTTTATAATATTTATAATGACTTGTAATTTTTTTAAATGATAATTAATTTTCCACCAATAATTGGTAGAAACATAAGGAAACTCAAAGAAATATTTAATACAATGGTATTGGATTCTTATTTAGCACAATATTTGCAATGAATTAACTGTTTAAACTAGAATTTCCAATGAATAGAACATTTGAATATTATTATTATTCACAAATAAATTCAAGATTGATCGATCATTTATTAATTAAAATTATTTTTTTTTTTATTTCCCAAACCTCCACAGATTTTCGTGATGATATATAACAAAATATTAAAAATTCTGGCGAGAAATAAAGAATTATATTTTTTTGTGTAATTTTAATATCAAAATATTGAAAATTTATTGGTCATTCATTAATAAATTTATTTAAAAATAATTAAAAATTATGCAGTTGCACGTGATTGACTATATGCATACTCTAGATATTATACGAGGAGTATTAATTTCATTTTCATAATAAGTAGTAGGGAGCTAATGGTCACGGTCATGACCGGTTATAACCGTGACCGATCGGTCGGTCAAAGGCTTCTGTGACCAGTGTTGGCCTTTTGGACTAATAGAATTTTGGACCATTGGACTAATAGATTTAGTCCATTCCAATTCCATTAAAATTTGGACTATTGGACTATAGACTTCTTCCAACAACTATAAATTTATTATAATTTTAGCACTATGTTCATAATTAATAAAATATATATTATGTAAATCTTTTTTATTAATATTTGTTAGAATTTTATTAAATTAATTATTATTACTTAATATAAAATTTGACAAATAATTAGGTTCCACTAAACTCTTAATATAAATATCTAGATATACTCCATTTAGAATTTTGAATTCTAGCAGGATGAAGTAATTTTAAATGTTTGTAATATTAATTTTAAAGCTCTCTGTCATCTGAAAAATCAAGGTCAGATCAGTCTATTTAAACGAATTTATTATGGATTATTCAAGAAGAACAATTTTATTATTGTTCAAATTTTTAAATTAGGCTAGCATTATAAATTTGGCTAAAATTATATAATCATAATCCATTTGAATTGGAATTGAACTGGACATCTCCATTAAGTTCAAAGTCCAATAGTCTATTATTGGAAATTGGACAAGGTCTAATTCTAATACCCTATAAAAAATTTGCATACGTTTTTTCATTATTGACAATAAGGGTTTGTTAACAGTAAATCTTATTCAAATTTTCTTTCACTTGTTTAAAATTAACGTATTTTTATAATTATAGAATATATTGCATATTAATCTATCAGTATTATATTATGCTTCTCAAATTAATTCTGATAGTAATACAAAAAATAGTTCTACAGTATCTTCTCCAAAACCATCATCACCACCAAAGATGAAAAAAGAAAGTCTAGAAACTAATATTTACTTTTTAATACTACTTAATAAACTTGACTCTGAATTCAATTTTCAATCTATTTTTAATATGTAAAATCTTCTAATGTATGCAAATATTTTATCAAAGTGTAGATTTAAAATATGAGAAAAGAAAATATTCAAGGATTA